AAGTCCCTCAGGCGTCATAGTCGAAGGGCCGAACTGATCTAAAGCCCGGCCACGATGGGAGGTGGACGCCGACCTACCCGAAGCACCTCGGCCTGTAGGTTCAACCTCTTCCTCAGGACCTACATCGGGCTCACTTGAACTACCGGGGACGCAAATTGGTTCGTAGAACCTGCATCAGACCCGCTTGAATTGTCTGAACCCTCCGAACTAGACATTAGAGAATGGAACGGGATTCCAAGAGCACTCACTCGGAAAGAATACTGAGGTAGACCACGAAAGCTCGAACAAGCAAGGAACCTGGGACGCGAGCTGAAGAGGCACAGCAGCAAGGACTGCCCCTCCCCGCTATTTATATCCACAGCGGCGGCCCAGATCAAATCCAATCCAACGGCCCACAGCCGCACTAACCGCACGTCTTCCGAAGCCAACCAGCGCACGTCTTTCCGAAACTGACGAGGCGTCGCGCACGTCCTGTCGGAGATGACGAGGCGTTAGCACGCATCTTCTCGAAACTGACAAGGTGTCAGCGCACATCTCCTCGCAATAAAAGCGTCTGCAGCACGACTCCCGAATGGCTACCATCACGTATCCCAAACGTGCGCCTTTTTTGAAAATCAAATTAAAGCGAGCGCCCTCAGTACGGACCAAAATCCTCCTGCTACCTTATGAACTCCCCGCGCCATGACAGAACCCTTGTCGCAAGGAGTGGGGGGCAATTGATGAAGGGAAATTTGGCCCGACCTTGCACTCACCCGACACGCGGCAAAAGCAAGCAACTCGGGGCAGCAGAGCGCCCGAAACGAGCACCGAAAGTAACGAAGTCCAAGCTCACTACTGAGCCCGAACTCCACCAGACCGGATTCTCTACTAGGAGCCCGAGCTCCCTACCAAGAACCCGAAATCCCTACTGGGAGTCCGAAGCTCCCTACTGAGAACCCGAGCTCTCTATTAAGAACCCGAGCTCCCTACTGAGGACCCGAGCTCCCTGCAAGGAGCCCGGACTATCTCGGGTTCTAAGCCACGGCCGTGACCCGAGCTGGCCCATGGCAGCTCGGAACACTCCCCAAACCGAACTCAAGACACCTCGCTCGCCACTCCAGCACTTCGCTTTCGAAACATCAGACTGACCAAACGTACCTGACACCGAGGACGTCCGTATCCAAGGGCGGCGTACCTGACTGATTTGGGATCTGACGCCTGACAGCCGCATTTCAAACGGCCTCTTTCTACCGCCACTTGCCACCGTCATTACCAGCCGCAGAGACGGCTCCGACAAAAGGAGCAGTGGCGGTTCTGTCCGGCCAGAGGGGATGACATCCGAACTGGCAGGAGCTCAGAGATAATCATGCCCGACCTGACAGAAGCCTGGAAGTGAATGCGCGAGGTGGTTATAACAGGCTCCCTACCCCCCAAGAACAAGGTATGCTAACTTTCGCGCTATCTGGCTTATCTTGCCTTTGAAAGATTCTAACTTGAGCTTCGGAGCCCTTACGCCGGGTTCTCCCCGGAGCTTCTTCACCCGCTCCGTTTCAGGTCCCCTGCCACTCAGTTTAGAGGCAAGATCATTGACAGCTAAGACCGGCCGGATTGTGCATCATCAACTCCCAAACCCGACATTGTGAAACCCCAATAGAATATAGAAGGTGGATATTTGTAATTTATCTAAATTAAAAGGTAATATAAATTTGCCATATATTAAGATCACTTGGAAGAAGTTGGAACATGTTTTGTTGGGAGAAGATATCAGCTCACCCTACATCCGGATCATGCCTACAAAACACGTTCCAACCGTCTTACCAACGTAATATTACACCGCATATCTCATACATGGCGGGTTTCACATCTCAGTATGAAACTGGGACCATTTTTTCGCATTAAAAAAAATCTGAAATACATTGACGGTCTCGATATCTCTATCAAAACACCGACGGTCTCGATTGTTTGAGATGTCCGTATTTGGAGACGTTGCAGGAACTGTGAAGCGTCTGTAGCACTTGATCAGATCGGATTTTCTCGATGCGAGAAAAAGCCGCGCAATTTTAAACTTCGAGCGCCTTTTACCGATGCAGTGCTGAGTACTCCATTCATTTGTCTTTTGGGTAATCGAGTTATCGACTATCGAGATCGATATCGATAGAGAGAGAGAGAGAGAGAGAGAGAGGGGCGAGGGAGAGGTACATAACACCTGAGACGTTGAGCGGGAGGTCTGTGGCTGATGAAGAGAAGAACCCTAAGGAGGAGCAGGAGAGAGGGGAGCAAAATGAAGGGTACTGTCGCAAGGCAATTTCCTGTTCAGCTGGGTCAGGTATCTCTGCTTCCTTTCCAACAGCCATCTTCCTCCTCTAACCCTTATCGCTTCCAGAAGCTCTTGGAAGCTGAAAGGAACGAGGAGGAAGAGCAACCTAAGCCCTCTTCACTGAGCCTCGATGTAGACGCCGATTTGGATGTCGATTTTAGCCTCGACGAGAAGGATTTCATTCTCAGCCAGGACTTTTTCTGGTAATCTCGCTTCTCTTCCAAATGCTCTTGTTCGCCCTCTTTTCAACATATCGATTTGGAGCTTGTAATTTGGGTCGATTATTAATTTTTGTTTTTTGAAGTTTTCAAGATGATAGTTCTCAGTTTCGATTGAATAACTTGGAAAAAAAAGATAACTTGTTTTTGTTCATCGTTCTTCGTTCGATTACAGATTTTTTGACATGGAACTTGGGAAAAGATTCATGAGTTCCAGGAAAACAATTGTGTTTTTCTAGTTGTTTGCTGTTGTTGACGATCCGATCTGGCCAATCAGAGCATGCCAGCCAACTGGTCGTTGTGGGGGGCGCTCCCTCTGCATCCTTTTAACCTTCCCTTTTCAATATCTCAGTCTCATAAATAATGGCTTGAAATGAATTTCAAAAACATTTTATTTTGATTATTGAGCTTTTCATGTTTTTGTGTTCTTACTTAGATACTTGAATAAAGAAGAGTCCAGTGCTTGAAGTCTCAAACATCTTTTACATTTCTTCGTTTTTATTCTCCTAATTTTAATTATCCGAATGCAGCACTCCGGATTATATTACTCCAGATGGGCAGCAAATCTCCAATAGTCTGGATTGCAATAAGGTTATGTTGTTTGTATGGTTATGATCATGTAACTCGCTATTAATTTCGAATCATCACTTTTCATTTTTGTCATTTGTTTACTTTATCAGGAAAATATCCCCTGTCCCAAATCACCAGAAAAGTTGAAGACAGTTAGAAGCAAAAGACAAAGACAAGGTAAGCTTTCTTGCTGTAGGGAATTATAGAAATTCATTTTCCTTTACCTATTTCTTTTGTGATATTCTATCGAGTATTCTTTTGATATTTGCTGTGTATAGACATACTGAGCTTCCACTTGATTGCGTCTTACTCTGCAAAGGACACCTCATATATGCTAATAGCTAGTCGATTGAGTTGCTATATTTAATTAACTACTGCTTGGATAAGATGGAAAACCATGGAGGATCTTTAGTTAAACTCCCGTTCAGTCTACTTTACACTTGAGACCTTGGAAGTATAAGGTCAAAGGTTGGCTTTTACTTTATGGTTAGCAGCTAGCAGGCTGTCATGGGTTTTATGAATTTAATGCAGTAATTTATTTCCAGGTACTATCAATGGTAAGATGGGCCTGTTGATGATACCTGAAACTCCATGGCCTTATCTGACATTTGATTATCTCAGATTTGGATGAGCCATATACACTTTTGAATCGGATCTAGATGGGGCAAGTAGTATCCGATTGAAAATTGGATTGGATTTGGATATTCCCATCCAATACCATATAAATCTGACTTTGATACATATATTTATACATGTTAATATATATTATTTAATATTATAATTATATGATTTACTAAAACCTTGGGAAAATTCCCGATCAGTACACTGTACTTTGGCTTGAGTGACAATTTGGTCTCTGAACTTTAAAATGCGGCAATCCAGTACCCGAACATTCAAAATGTGACAATCCAGTACCTGCTGTTAACTATTCCGTTAATCAACTATTAATTGACATTTGAAAAGTCAAAAATGCCCTTCATATTGCCATCTAATTCTCTTTATCAACCATCCAAACATTGACAAAAAACTGAACAGTTCCAAATTCTAACCTCTTCTATTCAAAATAGCTGGTGAGTATTTAGAAGCATATAGAATTTGGGGCTGTTCATTTTATTGTCAATGTTTGGATGGTTGATAAAGAGAATTAGATGGCTTTCTTAGGGCATTTTTGACTTTTCAAATGTCATTTAATGGCTGATTAATGGATTTGTTAACAACAGGTACTGGATTGTCACATTTTGAAAGTTCAGGTACTGGCTTGTCACATTTTGAAAGTTCAGGTACTGGATTGTCACATTTTGAAAGTTTGGGTATTGAATTGCCTCATTTTAAAGTTTGGGGACCAAATCGTCACTCTAGCCAAAGTACAGGGTACTGATCAGGAATTTTCCCTAAAACCTTTAGTGTATTTAGTACATAACTGACATCTGATTTGACTTTGATATATTATATACATAATTGAATTTTAGGGTATATTACATATAAAACCTTTGTTCGTTTTTATTGAATTTTAAGTCTTATTTTGAATAAAAAAACTTAAACCCTTGTTTTGATAAAAAATAAAGCTTTTAGTGTATTTATTACATAATTGGGCATCCGAACTTTACAACTTTATATTGGGGCCTAGAGTAAGCCCATTGGAGTTGGATGAACTCTGAACTCTGAAAATCTGATAGAAGTTGAACTCGGGTGCATTGTTCGTACATCTGATTGGATTTAGATGCCATTGATTCCTTATTGGATCAAACTCAGAATTAAGTGAATCTGATCTGAATCTAATATGATTACAGGCTTATGGTAAAGGTTTATGAGTTATTTTTCAATATGTTCCATTCTTTTAGCTAATAACAATTTGCAACTTTCTGTGTTTCTTTTATTCATGCCAATTAACTATGTAAAAATGATACAGTTTTAGAAAAACATGATCAATCGGATAGTGGATATTATTTACCTAATAACTCTTCATGGTTAATTTTGGTTTTGTATTATCAATTGATGATTGCTAAATATCTATATATTACCTTTATTTCTTCTGTTGTTTCTGTTATAAAATTCTCTTCGTTGTAGTAATTACAGTAGGACAATTTTGTTTCTGATTTTTAGTTGCATTTTATGTTTTCATTTTTTTTAATACCTGTAAATGAATGCTTTTCTATCCTTTTTTTCTTTCCTTTTTGCACTTTGATATCTCTCTCAGTGATATGATTTCTTCTAGTCTTTTCCTGCTTATTTGACATGTAAACATTCCTCATTTTCTCAGAGGGTTTCTTGGCCAATTCTCTCAGTTCCAGCATGCTCTGCAATCAAGTGATGGATCTTGAATCTGATTCTTTTGATCAAGATGATCTTAAGACAGAAAATCCATCTGTAGTTGCATCAGAAAAGAAAATGAATTATGTTTCACAATCTGCTGTGGCTTTGCGCTGTCGTGTTCTGCCTCCCCCTTGTATCAGGAACCCCTATATAAAGGAAGTTGGAGAAACAGATCTAGATCCTCTTGGTAGCCGGAGAGCAAAGTCAACAGGTATAAATTTAGTTCAGTCTTTTGTTTTTAATTTAATGAAGAGGATTATTTTAGAATCTCTAGGTTATTTTCTTAAGACAATAACCTCCAAATGTTTTTTCCATATTGACATCCCATCCGCAAATTTTCCCTTTCTGAAATTGGTAGAATGCATCTGTTGGTTGTTTTTTAACAAGGAATTCAGATTGCTACATATGGATAAATTATGACATAACAACCTATCCAATATACTTGGACATTTGTACTGTGGTCCTCTTTGGAGTTGCAGGGGACATTTGTACTGATGGTTGGTTTGGTTCTCTTGCCTGCCTGAACCATTGATAGCTTTATTTATTGAAGGTGATTCCCCGAGGGAACTTGTAGATAACAGTAAGATTGGGTGGGTGGTTGTGACCAACTCAAACAATGTGGTGTACACTGTACACGTAATTTTTTATATCATGTTTTAATTTAAATTTGGAAAAAAAGTTTAATTATTACTAATAACTGATAAAAACAATTGTTAGACTTCAACACATTTTTTTTTTGGTGGAAAGAAAATTAGATGAAACAAAAAAAGTAAAAGGGCCTTAACATATGATGCTCTGGACTGCAGGTTTTTTCTCTTCAGTTGTTGGTGGAGATGGCCTTTCTCGCTATCATACAGATTTCCATGAGATTGAGGTAGTGCCCAATTTCATTTCATCTTTAGCTGAATCATCAATTATGTTTTCAGTCCTTACTCCTTGGTTGGGGATTTCCTTGCCTGATCCATTTTTTTTTGTGATTTTGACCTACCTTTCTTTCAGCAAATTGGCTATGGGAACTTCAGCCGTGTCTTCAAAGTTCTAAAAAGAATTGATGGTTGCATGTATGCAGTGAAACATAGCATTAGGCAATTGCATCAGGACACAGAAAAGTACTTCCTTAATGCTTCTTATTTAATCAACCTGAGTTGTTAGAAATTGTTTCTTATGTTGTTTGTCTTTGTAGGAGGCAGGCTCTGATGGAAGTTCAGGCTCTAGCAGCTCTGGGTATGTGAACCAGTCTTTTTCAGTTTCCCCTTCCAAATCCTTGCACAAATTGTTCTTGCGTTAATGGGATTGATATCTTTGCCAGGGTCTCATGCAAACATTGTTAATTACTATACCTCTTGGTTTGAAAATGAGCACCTCTACATTCAAATGGAGCTCTGTGACTGCAGTCTATCCATTAAAGAATCTTCTCCGTTTTTTAGCGAGGGAGAAGTCTTGGAAATTATGTATCAGGTTAGTCTGAATTTATTCTTTCTTCTAATCCTAACATTGGACCATAATCTCTTATTTTTAGTTAAGGATCCCCTCCCAAACTTCTACAAATGCCAGATATTGACATATTTGTGTACCCAGAAAAAGAGAGAAAATGGAAAGTTGTACTAGTCTTTTGTATAAAGATTCATGTGAATTGTCATCATTTGTAATGGGAGAAACAAATGGGATTATGCATCTTTCTATAGCTTTGCACAAATCTAGTCGGCTCAAGTTGCACCCCTATATAGTAAGTAATGGGTCAATCGATATCCAATTGCTTCAAGGGGCCATTGCTTGGTGCAATGTTAAAATCTAGGGCTGAGTCCTGACAAGCATGAGAATGTGGTTTTGAGTATGAGTAGCCACTTCATGTTAAATATGCTGTATGTTAGGTCCATGTTCACTCCACCCTCCTATGGGTCTATGACCCTGGATTGCTGGGAGTCAGCATCAAGTAATGACTATTTGTAGAATCTTGTTGCTGCTGTTATTTTTCAACTTGGCAAATTTCAGTCCTTTCCACTAAATGTTATTTCTGGTTATTATGATACCAAGATATGTACAGATTGCTCAGGCATTGCAGTACATACATGAACGGGGAATAGCTCACCTGGATGTAAAACCTGATAATATTTATGTCAAGAATGGAATTTATAAGCTTGGTGATTTTGGTTGTGCAACTCTAATCGATAGGAGCCTACCAATTGAAGAAGGTGATGCACGTTACATGCCCCAGGAGATCCTGAATGACAAGTATGAGCATCTTGAAAAAGTTGACATCTTCTCCCTGGGGGTTGCCATTTATGAGCTTGTTAGAAGATCACCATTGCCAGAATCAGGGCCTCCGTTTTTGAACCTCCGAGAGGGAAAGATACCATTGCTTCCTGGGCATTCTCTACAATTTCAGAACTTACTCAAGGTATAATACTAAAGATGTTCACTTGTGTAGCATCACTCGAATTTTCTTTTCAAGGGAAATCTTTTTTTTAACCCGAGTTTTAAAGGACATGGTTTAAAAGCATTTCTACTCTTGAATCTTGACACACAAATTTTCCATATTGAGAGTTTCTTTTCACTGAATCATGTATTTTTTTTTTCACTTTTTGCTCTGACAATTTGATAGGAGACCTGTTACATTACATGAGTTTGAAAACGTTGAGATATTGTATGTTAAGCATATTGACACACCTTGTATTGGATGTATTTTACTGATACTTTGAACCTTGCTACAAGACAATCTGCTGTTTTCTCTATATTTTCAGAATCACGATTTTTAAAATTCAAAGTTTTCTTGAAGGTAAGTCTACATTGGTAGTTGGTACCATTTTTGAACTATGTTCAGACTTTTTGGTGAATAAATTAGTTCCTCTCTCATCCATACATCAACCCTTGCTGGCCACAATTTAATGTTTCCTCTATTCTATCTTCTATCAGGTTATGTTGGATCCTGATCCTGTTCGACGACCTTCTGCTAAAGAACTATTAGAAAATCCTATTTTTGACAGGGCACGCAAAATTTCAAGGACGAAGTAACAGTATGATCTTGGAAGTTGGATTTTTGTTTTTTTGATGGGGACTAAAAGCTGCATGTTGGAGATTGTATATGCAGACTGCTCTGGCCAATCTTTTTCTTGGAATGGGGTGGGAGAAAGTTCAGGTTGCTCAATTTCGTAAGAGCAGTTGTCTCTGATATTTGTACCAGTTTTCCCTTTATGGTGCAGCGTGCAGTTTTTTGTAAAGAAAAAAATGCCATGGATGAATGAATCATCAATCCTGTATTTTGTTGTGAAAATAGTAATTAATTTGGGATTAACACTCAAAAAATCCCTCGCTCGTTTTGTTATGGACGTGAAAGAACTTCATCTGATCAAAGCATAGCTTGAACAAGCCTCCATTTGCTATCAAAGTCTCTAATTGTTCTATTATTTTTTGAGTTCGGATCTGCTCCCATTAAAAAAATGCTTCCAACATGATCTATTCCCGCACATCTCAAAACATATTTCGTATAAAATTGGAGATCACATCTCTGCCCCACAGCACATCCCCGCTGTGTGTGTTGGGAACATCTCCCGATGATGGTATCAGAACCGATTATGTCATCACCAGGGGATGTTCCCAATACACAGCAGGGATGTGCTGTGGGACGTTGTGGGGCGGAGATATGATCTCGCAAAACGTATTCAAATATTCAATAACGACTGTATTACTTGGGAAAATATCGATCACCTGTTCATTAATTGCAACATCTCTAAACAAGTCTGGCAGCTAGTTGGGATTAAGCTCCCTGGGCCTAATGGAGGAAGTCAAGAGCCATGAACTATGTGGAGGAAGGGAGAGGGAACATGTAAAATCTGAAAGCCGGTTGTTTGGAACTGCTGACTGAAGGCTCCATTAAAATCAATTTTGATGCCACCTGTGACGACGGGTGGTAACTGTTCTATTGTGTCTATTGCTCGTGACCACATTGGCAAGATTCTTGACCTTAATGAAATTAATGCCTATGGGATTGGAGTTGCTACAATTAACACTGCGGAAACCTGAGCTGCGTGGGAAACTATCAACCTCGCCATCAACTTCAAAGATTTTCCGATCACCATTGAAGAAGGAGACTCAGAACTAGTCATTGACTGCTTGAAGAATTCGGTGGAACCCCGTGGAGGATTAAGAATATCATAGGTGAATGCTTCGTCTGTGTACTACTGTTACTATTGATTCTGGTATATATTCTTTTATCACTCCTATAGAGTAGAGAAGAGAAGCAAATCAGTCGGCGGACTGATTGACTCGCACGTAATGTCTATTCTAGTCGTCCCATTAGTAGTAATAATATTCCTATGGAATTAGAGTCTATCTGATTGTTGGGTCGAGTTACCCCCGTCTTGTGTAGCTCTTTGTTTTTCTCCCTTTCTATTGCATGTTGGGTTGGGCTAAAGTGTTGGGTCTAAGTTTGGCCCTGAAATTTGTGGGCTCGTGCCTAAATACGAATCTTAACCCATGCCTAAAATTGTTGGGCTGGGTCAGGCCGGAATGAAAGTAATCACCCTTTTGTCAATTTATCATTCTCATAATTTCCTCGTTACCAGACCTTTCCTTCCCCACTCCCCCCACCCACAAAATAAGTGTTTATTTTCTTAATTAGCATAAATTAGGGATTTCTAGTTCCAGTGGATGGATGGTTTGCTGCAAACGTTCTAGTTTCTAAAGTTCTACATATGTGCTCCTTTGTCCTAGCAATTTTTATTTTTATTTTTCTAATTTTTCTACTTGTATTTATTTTATTTTGCATTGATCCTTCTGTGTAATATAGATTTTGTTTATCTGAAATTGCTATTAAAGCTTAAAGCAAAATCTATTTAGTTTTTACTTAACTTAAAATCTATGGTAAATTCTATTATTATCATAATTAGGAGTGATGGTTTTGGGTTGTTTTTAAAGTTAGGGGCAAAGATGCAAACAATGCAAAAACACAGGCAAAATATGCAAAATAGCTTAAACACAAGGGCGTGGATGTAGAAATGCTTTTTCAAACTGATGGCAGGAGATCCGGACTTAGAGGAATCATCTTGGTTAATCCTGAATTTTTATGCCATGTGGCAAAAATACTATAGGGCCTTTTGGAGTAGACTGGGTGAATAAAAACTCTAGCAAAATGCGCAGCAAATACGGTATAACTTTCTCGGGCAAGATTGCATGTAGACATGCAAGCAGGTTGAGAATATCCTTATATCGTTTTATTGAAAATTTTTGAATGTTAAAATGAGGTGTCGTCTTAAACATCTACTATCAAAAAGCATAACGCTCAGTTTGGAAAGGGTATAAATACAAACAATATAAATACATATAAAATAATATGAAATATAAGGTTTTACGCTTTACATATTTATATTTGTATTCCTGCCAAATTGAGCCCAAGTGTGTAATAGGATGGAGTTAAATAAAGTTCTATTTTGATACGTCAGGCGACACTTTTAACTAAGTTTTTTAAAACTGATTTGGACAACAAACCGGTCAGGGGTCCGGTTCCCGGGTCGAACAATCAGTCTGTTCTGACAGAAAAAATAAAAAAATAAAAGGTCAAAACCATTGAATGGTTCAACCGCCTGGGTCAGCAGTTTGTTGACCAAATCAACGTTTTTTGGCAAAAATCCGGTTTTGGGGAAAAACGTCCAGTCACCTGACTAATTCCTGGTTTTCCGGTCTGACTGTCTAGTCTAGTCCGATTTTAAAAACTATGCTTTTAGCCTTTTACTTTCATTTTATTAATTTTTCCCAAACTTTCAAAGTTATTTCTATATTCTTTATTTATTGAAAAAAAATTCTTAAATCTGCCTTAAAATAAACATATTCCGAGTTAAAGATTACGATACGCCCAATTGGGTACCAGTTTCTGGGTCAGCAGTTTAATAATCCGGTCTGAATGGATTGACCTTAGCCAGTGATAAATCAAAAAATTGAAAAAATAAAAATAAAAATAAAAATAAAAATAAAAATAATTAAAATAAAACTGCTCAAAACTGTTGTTTGGTTTGAATGGATTGACAGTTCGATTGCTAGGATTAATGGATATTGATCAAGTCAATGGTTTTTGGGCAGAAAACAGTTTAGGCTAAAAACGGAACTGATCTCCGGACCGGTTAACCGGTCAGTGCCTATGGTGATTCGAAAACCATGGTAAAAGCAGAAGAGATAAGAAGTACACAGAACATGGCTTATCACAGTGTATACACATCTCCAGTCCTCTCCATGCCTTGGACTGCATTTGGTTACAGTGCAATCTTATTTGCATTAGTATAAATGTATGAGAGTGCAAATGAAAAAAACTGCAAATTCTTGTTTAATTTTGATTTAGGTTTTAGTTGATTCTATACTGAAATCAAACAAAATAAGGAACATTTGAAACAAAAACAAATTAGAATTTGCATCTAAATCATTTTCACTTCCACAATTTTGCATCAGTGCAAATTCATTTGTATTGCAATCAAATAAAACCTTAAGAATCGTTAATCAGGTAAGATATGGAAGCGAATGAACTCCTTTGTAATCCTTAATTCTTTTGTTTTATATATAAACTTTCACAGTTATGCCTGTGTTCATTGTTGCCGTTTAATCATGCTGGAATTGTTTAATTCTGGGTCTATAGCTATTGTGTGTGTTTTGTTCCATTAGCGTTTATCAAAATGCTATCATATCATCGTCAAATCGACATTTCTTTTCATCATATTCATTCATATGCATTGGTATTCACAAAAGTGGATTTTGATTTATATGCAATCCAACGGTTGGGAGAAGCTTCATTTTAATGCTTCCCCCAACAATTGAGCATTTATTTACTGTTATGCTGATGTGACGCCTAATTATCTATAAATGGTTTATCAAGTACTTTTCTCGATTTCAAAGATAAATTAAGCACAAACATTTATTTAATAAACAAAAAACTATACTAAACACATACATTCTATACATTTGTTCCTTAATTGCTAGTATATAGCAATACTATGCTAAGAGTTGCATGGGTTTCGTTTGTCAATAGTTCTAATTTATCATATTAATTATTATTCAAAGTTTTGGATAGCTCAGGCTCAGTCCGACCCAGTCCGAGCCTCCCGAAAAAATACATACATTTGGCAACAGCTATTTTGCCATTCACAAATCGCAACACTTTTTTGACCGTTGCAAAAAGTGTTTTAACAGTCCCATATCCGGTCAATCGCTTGTCAATAGTTCTTATGTTGAATCTTGTGTTCTTTCCTTTATCTTCCACACCATGATCAAACAATGTTTTAACAACCGAGTCGGAAACCACTGGTCACTGGTTTTCGGGTCAGCAGTTTGATCGTTTAATTCAAATGAATCGTCTATTTTAATTTAAAAAATAAAAAGGTCAGTCAGTGCAGATTGGTGATCAAGTCAATAATTTTTGGTCAAGAAATAAGTTAAGGGTGAAACAGAATCGATTGCCTAAATAATTCTTAAATTGAATGGTCTGACTATGAACAAATATATTCTTATCTTTCTACAGACAAGAAAATGGTGATGGTAAGGAATCGTGCATTCAAATTTAAATTCCTGCAATTTGTTTGTAGTGCAATTTTATTTAAACAGACACAAAAGTGTGGGATGCAATCATGCAAATATTGATTTATTTTAGGGTAATTGTCAAAAACTCACCATGAGTTTTCAGCATTTCTCTTAAACTCATCACGATTTATCAAAATATCCAAAACTCACCATGTCACTAACTTGACGTTAAAGAGACTAACGACTGTTAATATATTACCATTTTAACCTTCATAGAAAAATATAAAATATATACATATATTTTAATATTTAGACATGAAAAAAAGGAAAAGTTCAAAAAATATTTTCAAATATAAAATACATAAAAGCACAAAAAAATGCAAAAAATATAAAACATTATAGAAGTTGCACACAAAATAAAAATTATTTTCAAATTATAGATATAGAAATTGAAAAGAAAAATCAGAAAATAAAAATTGTAGAAAAAACACCAAAAATTATAGAAAAACACAAAAGTTGCAAATAAATAACAAAAAATACAGGAAATTTTATAGATTGTAGAAAATAGAAAAATGTAAAAACAAAGCAGAAATTATAAAAAGCATTAGAAATTATAACAAAACACTAAAAATGTAAAAAAAGAAAATTGAAAAATGAAAAAGACCAATTTCCTCTAACTTGCCATTCAAGTGTGATTTGGTCATAAAAATTGTTATTTATGCTGACATGGATACCTCTGCTAAGAAACATTAACGGTGCACCAACCGAAGGTGAGTTTTGGAAAATAAAAGCTTACTGACATGGTGAGTTTTAGATGTTTTGAAAAGTTGTGGTGAGTTTAAGAGAAATGCTGAAAACTCATGATGAGTTTTAGACAAATTCTCTTTATTTTAATAGGATTCAGCCTTTGCTCTATTTTAATTGTTTACATGACAGACCAAGTACAACCCGAAAAGCAAAAGTAAATACGTATTTGTATTTTCAGTTTGCATGCACTCTCATGCATTTGTATTAATACAAATTAAATTGTTCCGCAAACAGTCTCACTGTCTACACTAACATACTAACACATGGTTTTTGAACCATTGGTTTTGTTTCACCCATAAACCATTCTTTGCCAAAAAACCGTTGACTGGTCTGCATGCAACCCGTTGATCCAGGCGGGTAAATTGTTAATCAGGCCCATTCGATTTGGACAATTTTTGTTTTAATTATTATTATTTTATATTTTTAAATTGCAACGGGCCGTCCGTTGTGACCGGACAATTGAACCACTGACCCAAAAATCGATGGCCAAACCGTTTCAATTCCGGTTTCTAAAAAATTGCTGACTAACATGTTACTTAGGGATCAGGAGAACCCATCTATCTGTAGAATTTAAACAGAGTATTTTACGACAATCGATCTCAAAGTGCAATTTCTGGTTCCATGTTTTGATTTCAGTTGGATAATAATATGTCCGGAAAAGGATCTATCTAGCTAATTAATTTTGGAAAGAGGCTAACATATGAGTATGACCAACAGTACTGCTACTTCTGCAGTTTACTGGTTTTCATACTGTAATAGCATCTTTGGTCAGATTCTTATAATAAACAAATCTCTACCATTTGAAATCTGTATGCAGATGGCTCAGTCACTCTGATACAAAATCTTCTGGGGTTTTGTTCTACGTTACAGGAAGAATTGTACATATATGTATGAATGTAGATAGAGAAGAAGAGGTTTAATTTCAGTAGAGAAACTAATTAAAGAACATAACCAGCAACAATTCAAGCTATCTTATATGCCTGGTCCTACTCCTGCCAAGCTTCTATGTACTCAGAGCTTGTTCACGCCATTTCCCCACATCTCAACTCACTACCCAATACCCATAAGCAGAAACTACACATCCTAGCTACTGCATGCACATGGTGGATGGTGACAACATGTACATTAGTTGATGATGATGTCATCGTTAATTCATGAATGATGTATGCACACGTGTCAACATTTTGCCACAGCAGCAAAAGAAGGTACAGCATAGCAATATCAATATATATATCATTTGGCATGTGTTGCACAAGGCATGGCGCAAGGCTATCTGCAGGATGTCACATGGACAAACTCCTGAGCCACATGCTTTGTCATGGCAAAGAGGAGCCGCGCACGGCGGTGAGTGCAGTTTTTCCTTCAATAATATAGAGTTACAGTCAGTCATGTTTATTTTTTTAAGTGAAACTTGCCGACAAACCGTGCAATGCCAACGAACTATGGATATCAAAATCTGAAAGCATCCCACCACACTGTGAACTCATAGGATGCCTTTCATGAAGAAGAGGAATACAGTAATGCAGAGAGAGAGAGAGAGAGAGAGAGAGAGAGCTCCTCTAGTACAGCAGGCTGGGACCTCACTTAGTCACTTCCGCCAAGAACAAAGAAGAAAAAGAAACAGAAAATTATCCTAACAAGAAAAAAAAACTGCACATATAGAGTACGTTATAGAAGTGTGATTGGTGTGGTTGTTTCTGGTTTCTGCAGAGTTTTTTTTTTTTTTTTTTTTTTTTTTATAGTTCGGTGCTCTTGAAAACTGCTTTACTAAGTGGGCTATTGGAGAGATTCTGTTCACATGTTTTTTTTTTTTTTTTTTTTGTCTCGTATCCTGTTTCATTTTCATGTATCATCCGAGGATATATGGTCCTGTTTCTCTCATATTTTATATTGTTGTTAGACTGTTAATTAACTCTATGTACGTTCATCCTTTTGAAACTTATGTCACGGAGTCTGTAAGTTCAACACACTTAGTTTGAAGATAAACTAAAAAAGTAGATGGAGATGAATACTGGGTCCTCAAATTTGGAGGCAAACAACAACACTAATCGAAAAAGATCAAATGGTATCTAGGACTGTTCCCTCCAAAAGCTGATTTTTCTCAGTTTTAGGCTGGTTATCTGGCCTCCCCCATTTATCAAAAACATTAATTGTTCCTTTTCTTTTAGTTTATTGTTTCATATATAATAATGGGTAGCAGTGTGTCTTCCACACTTACTCCCATTTATCAAAAACAAGGGACGCCCAAATCACTGGATCTGTTTCATTCAAAAGGACCCCTAGCTGAATGTGTGTCTGACAGTGATGAGAGAGAGAGAGAGAGAGTTTCTTCCTTTCTTTTTGATAAAAGAGAGAGAGAAAGAATATGAAATTACACTAATATTCCCTCTTAAAATTCCCATCTTTTCTTACAGATGAGACCTTCTAATAAACTCGACATTCCAGTAAGTCATGCATCCTCAGTTGTGGGAAGATAACCCAAACCATTTTTATATGGTGATGTCAATGCCCGAGACTTGATGGGTTTTTTCACGACAGATCATGTTATGTAGAAGCAGAAACACTTGGAAGTGGTCCCATGCTCTAGTATAAGGACTTAGAGGAAAACCCTAAAATGTTATGGGCATATCTAGCTTTGGTCAACTTTGACTATTCTATATCTAGACAGATACGGATACGGTGTTTCAAGGCTTACATAACTTGCACTTTTTTGAGTTCATTTTCACTCCATTTTAGTAGGAGACTTCATTTCAAAAAGGAGCAAAAGATTTTTCACATATGCAGAAGATTTTGAACTCACATAACCCTTGATATTGAGTGTGCAATAAATTGGCATGCTTTTCATAAAATGCTGTATGTGATGAGTTAAGAAGTCTGTTGGTTATACACATCTTATTTGAATGTTAAGTATTAATTTGAAATTTCATAATTTGAGTAGACCCCATAGAGAAATCAGAAGGAACAATTCTAAAGAAAGGAAAGATAATAGAAGAAGATAAAGATTTGAATCAAAGTATATATATTGCAAAAAACCAACAAGAGAGAATCAAAATAGAGCAGGAACTGCTCAAGAGCTAATTAACTTGCATATGAAGAAGAACTACAATTGATATAGACAAGCAATACATTACAACTAATTGGCAGTGATCTTAAAAGAAGGATAAAGCAAAATCCAATATCTAGCTAGCAATAAAATTATTCATATGCTAGATCTAAACCTTAGCAGTAGAATGTGTTTCATGGTCTGCAACATGTATGGTGATTGATGCAAATTTACTTGATATTTTGGTGAACAAACCTGATAAACTAAGACGGATAGTTTGCTTACCTACCTTACAATCTCTGCTATACCTGCAGAATTTGTTCAATGAGTGATCCCCTTCGATGCCAAAATTTGGATGGGATTCAAATCAAAGTAAAAATATTAGAAATTTATGCAACATTTACAGCTTATTAGCAAGATCAACTGAATAAATCAAAGCCTTAAATCTTCATGGTTCAATTCACAAAGGCAGGCCAAGATAAAATAGATGGGTTATTTCCTTCTACAAAGTTCCTTTCCACAACCAAATGATTAACATGAAATTATCCATATTTTTCAAGCTAACAACTAGTAAATCAATATATCAAAAACAAATATTCCTAACCTACAAATGAAAAGCACTCATAATATATATTGAATAACCTTCATCAACATCATCATAAATAGGACTAGATGTTGCCATGCTTCTTCATTTCTTCCCAAGATGTCAAAATGGCCTTGACATAGAGCTATTACTCTTCTCAAACACATTGAAATCCAAAGGAGTAGAAGACAAAGGTTGTTCCCTTGTTTTATCACATCCAAAGAAGGATGGTGCTTCCCTATTTTCTATGTTGCTACCCTTGTCTTGGTTAGCTTTCTCTCCTTCCAATTCCCTAAATCTATGCAAATACCTTTTCAAGGGCTCAGCATAGTCATCAAAGCCCAGTGTTCCCAGAGCCCAACAAATATCATCTCCATTCACAGTCTTCCGTTTCTCCTTGTGACACTTGTCAGATGCTTCACCAGTAACAAAGCTAATGAACTCGGATACACATTCTTGCATGGTTTCTTTTGCTTCTTTGGAGATCTTAGCATTAGGGGGTAGGATTTGCTTCATGATCCGGCCCACGTTGGCGATCGGCAAGAGGCGATCTTGCTCTTTGAGGCTTCTGTCGTCGCCCGAGGAGGTACTCGCAGCGCCACCTGCAATCTTATACTTGTTGCCTTCCGAATTAGGGCCATGGCTGCCTATGTTATCAACCATCTCCAAAGACAGATCAAACCTGATCCTGTCAAACTCAGACACGTTGCCCTGACTTCTTCTCAGCTCACTTCTGTATGGCTATATATGTGTGTGTGTGTGTGCACAAGTCCATGGTAAAGGTTCTAGGTCATGACTTAGACCCAGAGCTGCCTTCTTGTTGAAAGTAGCACGTTATGATGCAAACATGGTTGGTTTTGCCTTTGTTTGGTGGGACACCACTCCTGAGGTCCAATCCAAGTCTACAACAATGCAGGGAAACTCTTGATGGATGCTATAGTTTAGCCACTTCTTCATGGAAGTAAGGATTTTGAGGGAGTGACTGATCGTTCGGCGCAAAGCTTAATTAAAACACTTGTAAGAATGCACTCAAAAGACAGAAAAGGGAAGACAAACTCAACTTGATCTTGAACAGTTCCAATGGTCCCCCTCTCCTTGTAATCTTTTAATCTTTAATGCTTCCAATAAGTCCACAATATTGAGTAAGTTTAAATAATGCTTAGAGAAAAGAACCAGTGGACCGAGTCTTTGCACGTGTGCCTGTGCTAGTGTGGATCCAATCAAACTATACCTAAAAAAAATACCTAGTGTTGGATTACCTACTGCTTAGGTCTTTATTTAAAAGGGTGTCTCCCAATCAAATCACACACTTAAAACGGGGGAGATGTCACTCAATACGATGGCAAGAACCTCTCTTTATCTTTCTTCAGTTTAAATTGAATTCCGTGAGCTTGTGATCTTGTCCCGGAACTCCGGACTCGTAAAATGAAAACGAGGTGCTATTGGTCCTAGACCCTAAACGCCTAGCTAGTGATCTCTTCTTGCTCACATTGTGTCAAGCACATGGTGATCGTTTGCTTGCTTGTGGAGCAATGAGCCGTGAAAATTATAAATATATATATATTCATACTCTCTCTTAAGTTTTAGCATGACCCATCATGAGTTCTGAAATGAGAATTCAAGCTGTTGCCCAGTATTCCTTTGAGGCCCATACTTGGACCCTCCCCAGCTGATCTTACTCAACTAAGATCTTCTACACAACCATTACTTATCTGATCCCAACAGCTCTAGAGTGAACAATGCAAAATTATATCATAACCATGCAGCTGAATCATTGACTGCATCAGTCAAAGTCTGAAATGTGCAATTCTAATCACATACAAGAAGAACTTAATTGGCATACATAGCTAGCATCGTTGAAACAGTGAAATTGTAAAATGCTTGAGCTCAATTATGTTTCAAACTCTAACCTCTCTCTGCAACTCATAGATGAACAGGTGTATGTAGAAAAAGCTATCAGGGTGCACCATCATTCATAGGGTCCCCCCTAAGGAATCAAAAGTACCAAAAATCAGCATGATTAAATTATTTTTGGCCTTCTGATATGCAGTACAATTATAATGAGTTTTATTTTGCACCACACAAATGATTTCACTAAAATTACTCATATAAATGATGTATGATCAGATTGTGGCCTAGGTAAACCTCCTACATGGGAGATGGGACCCATTCAATGGTGGGTCCTAATCCTCTTCACAAATGTTTCTCCCATTTCATCAGCACAAGCCTTTTACAACATAACTCTTGCTCTTGCTCTTGCTCATGATATAATATATGAATACATATCTTTAGTGTTACTTTATATGGTTCCTATTTTAGCATGACTAATGGTCAGAGATGCCTTGACTATTAAGTAGGCTTTGAGGCTTGTGATTGTGATAAATAATTAGCTTCTAGATGGTGGAGCATGTGACTTGAATGTGACAAATGACCATCCATTATTAATTAATGGCTTTAATTTGCAATATTGTAATAAGAAATCAAGAGAGGTCTTCCAAAGAGGAATTCCATTTGAAGGATCTTTTCCCTCTTTTGGAAGAGGACCTCTCCTATTTCATCCATGTGAAGGAATGAGGTGGCCATTTCAGACTGTTGATTAAATATATAGATGATCCACTTGATTTATCTGGTGTCTAGTGCTCAATTCGGATCTCCTCTATAATTACTTCATTGGTCTTATTTTAATTGTACTGGTACCATAAAATGTACCTTGTCACCTTGAGTTATGAATGTTGAACCACAAGCATTCTAACATTGCACCTTGACATGGGTACAAGGTACAACATACAGAACCAATAGAGGAAGAGTAGCAATCTGATGCTTAAGTTGCAACATTTATATAGTTTGGGTCTCTGTTTGTTTACAGTGCAAATATGAACTAGATGCAAGTTTTGCACATTCTGTTCAAGCATGAAGCAAAACAAAACCAGAATTTAACTCAGTCCATCTGAACTTCATGCAGCATGGTGCATTAAGTTTTAAATTTAAGAAAAAGAGATAGATACTCAAAAGAAGAGACTCATGTTAGGCTAAAAGTTGCATGCACAATCATAAAGGATTGTTGGCAACTGGTGAGTATGTGGCCAAAGTTGCCACGTGGAAACTTGGGCTTCTATTGATTTATTCTTTTATAATTAAAATGTTGCTTTACAAATATTATTGGAGTACTTGTGTGCTTCAATGACCTTTCCTTGACTGACAAGAAGATGATGTAACATGGTAACAAATCAAGGGTGGTTTCATGGACGCCTGTTACACCCAATGAATTGCCCACTTACAATATGTTTAATCCGTTCCGTGTAAAGGAGACTTGGGGTTCAATTATTTGATCTGATGTTGTCTTGTCCATCCCAACTATTATGCCATTGCAGGTGGACAAGGCCACAGAAGTTGGGGGGGGGGGTCTTAGGCCAAGAATTCCGCAAGACTGGGCCACAAGCCATGGATCGTGCTCGCCATGGTCGAAGGCAAGTAGGGGCCCATCAGGCCCTACACTCAATGATCATGCCAGGGGCCAGTAGGGGTGAGAAAAAAAAATCAATAAACGGAATCGATCAAAACTGAACCGAAAAATTGGTTAATCAAACTGATTGGTTCAGTTTCAATTCGGTGTTTTTAAAAAATCGAAGGTATTGGTTCAGTTTCGATTAATCAATATAAAAAATAGACGGTTAACTGAACTAACCGGCTAACTGAACTGAGCGGTATACATATATTTCTATATATTTTATATATATATTTATGTATATTATATATTATATATATTATAAATTAATAAATATGTATTATATATAAATATATATTTATAATATATAATATATTATTTATTATTTAAAATATAATATTATATATTGTAAAAATTAAAAAACCAAAAAACCGACGAACCGAATCGACGATTGGCTTCGATTCGGTTTCGATTACCAGTTTTCCAAAAACCGGTAGTACCGGTTCGATTACAAAAAAAGGCCCACGATTTGATTAACCGAATCGTGAGCACCCCTAGGGGCCAGGGCTACCAGACTGTTGTACTCGCTCTTGATGCCTTAAGGCTGCATTTGGTTGCAGTGCAAATTATTATTATTATTATTATTTTGTGTACTGGTGAGAAACTGTGAATGAATGCATGGGAATATAAATTGCCTGAGTGTAAATTCTGGTTTATTTTTGCTTTAGATTTGACATTGCCTTTGCCTTATTTGTGAAAAGTAAAATAGGAAGTAAAATGGTGTGATTTCACATATATTGGAGAGAATGGAGGAAGGTGGAGGTTTATTTGTTTGGGTGTGAGTTAAGAAGCAGAATGATGCGGTCCTTATTTTATATGAGAAGAGAGAGAATTGAGGTAAGGGGAAGGTGATGCAAATTATGCATCAGTTTCGAGATGCAAAATTTACACTACTAGTGAGTGAAAATGAAACAAAAAATACAGATTTTGTATCTAGTAAGGGTGCAAATCATAATTAGAAACAAACCATTCAAAACTGAATTGGGTGCAAAATTTGTATCTGATTCAGATTTACACTGCAACCAAGCCTGACCGAAACTTTCTTACAACACACACATAACCACTCTTTGTCACTCCAAATCTTCTGGGTCCCTAACAGGAACTCACATTGGAGCATATAAGCATAGATTGACACATAAATATAGTACATAGTCGATCTGTATTCGTTATTTACACATTCTCTAAGGTGCGCACATTTTCATTGGAGATCTAGCAAAGTATCCCACTGATAAATATATATATCAAATCTCTATGCTAGATAGCCAGTTAGGCCAATAGCTATAGACAAAGGCATATGCAATGGGTTACGGAACTAATCACGAGTAAACACGCCAGTGTTTCGCACACACCTCTCATTTACCCTTTTATCTTTCTGTGCTTTGAAAGGCCATCTCTCCTTCCACCACCACGAATGAATACGCCAGTGTTACACACCTCTCATTTACCCTTTTGTCTTTCTGTGCTTTGAAAGGCCATCTCTCCTTCCACCACCACCAGTGAATACGCCAGTGTTTTGCACACCTCTCATTTACCCTTTATCTTTCTGTGCTTTGAAAGGTCATTTCTCCTTCCACCACTATATTTGGGTCTGTGCTTTGGTTTGAACAAATTAAAGCTCAACTAGATATCACTGATCCAAATATAGAATATATGAATCCAGTTCTAGTTCCTAAGGCTGCATTTGGCATTCCTTATTTTAATGATTTATCTCATTTTTTACAGTTAAAAATTCAGTGTTCATATGGGCATTTTAACATTAAAATGGAGATAAAATCTTTAAAATAAGGAATGCCAAATACAGCCTAAATGGGTCATGATCATAATTCATATTTGAATTCGAGGAATGACCTCATCAAATAACCCTAAATGTAAAAAGGAGAACAATTCTAATTGGGAAAATACCCCTGTAGATACTCCGCTTTATTTATTCTCCCACCAATAACTCACATGCTTTAGGAATATGTCCCTTTAGACCTTTTATTGGGATAAAAATATTCAAAGTTGCAAAAGATCAATTTCGTTCTTGCCCAACTAACCAATCATGAACTCGGCCCTAACTTTTCTTTCTTTTCTATAATACAAGCGAGTTAGTGGGTTAACACAGGTTTTGTAACCCAACTCTTTTTGTTTCTCTTCTCCCTTTTAATTTCTGCTGAAGAACACTGCCAAGCTATACCAAGTAACCAAGTTGGTTGTTCTCTGCTTGTGGTCCATACATATTAATAAACAATTGAGACTTATATTTATAAAAAGCAATGTTGTAAGACTTGGACTGGACATAAATCAAAATATTCATCACTTGGCTATGGTTTTATTGGTTAACTGGGCGGTTAGTCTCTTCAAACCATGAAACCATCATTAAAAAAGACCCAAACGGGCCACTTGGTCACCGAGTCATCGGTAGGGGTGTAACTTGGGCGGGCTCAGACTGAAAAATTGTGAAGATTTGATGGATGCAGCCTCAATGCAGTGTAATTTCTTCAAATCAGGTACCCAACTTGCGCCCCCAATCACTGGTCAACCATTTGGTCCGGTCCATGAAAGAAAACCATCATTTAACCAAGACCCAAAAAGGCCACTTGGACATCAAGTCACCGGTAGGGATGCAACGACAATTTAGGCAGGCTCAAAATGAGAAATTATTAAAATTTGAATGAACTTGGCCTCAATGCAGTGTAAATTCTTTCAAATTGGGTACCTGACTTGCACCATGATCACGGGTCAATCATCCGGTCTGATTCAAGTCTTACAACACTGATAAAAAGAAAAAAAAAAAAAAACAAAAGGAAAGACATGCTTATGGGTCTACTAAACTTTCTTTCAAACATTAATTATCTTTTTTTCCTTTTTTAAAGTTTGGCTATGCTTTTAGCCCTAGTTTTTGCAGGTACAAACTATATTATAATTGTATAACATTAAATAAAATAACACCCACCCACCCACACACAAGCAGAAGCACCTCCCTCATTGACCCAGCTAGGGTTTTAGTACTTTATTTGGGGAATGCAACAGCAACACAGCCAAAGGGATTAAAGAAATATGTCAAGTGGGAAGGGCACTAAGTTCGTGAAAGGGACTTGTTGAGATTGAAAAACCCTAGAAGTGGAAAGTCTTTTGAGGATGATGGATCCTCTAACATTCCACACACACTTCTCCAATCTTTTGAACCAACAACATTGTTGAGATTCTTAGGGTTTGGACTAGTCTTAACTGAAAACAAGTGATAATAGATATAGATTTGCCTTTTTCGTTGGTGCATATTTTTAATAAGGAAGCCTCGATCAATATCAACCAGCTTTGGAATACGTTGGACTATTATTTTTTTATTTATTATGAACAGCCCATTTATTTATATTTTATAAATTATATGAGCAACTCTTAAGGAATAAAATCTAGTGCAGTACAAATGTACAATGCCATATAATCCAAAAGTTCAAAATTTATATGCTTTCATTGAGATTCGAACTCAAGACCTCCCGCTTACTAAACGGGTGCTCTAACCAACTGAGCTATGAAAGCTGTTGTATTAAAATGCGTATTTTACATTACTATCATTAAAATCATGAAACAAAAACCAAAAAACTATTCGTCGCCTGAGAGATTCGAACTCTCGCGGGGAAACCCCATGTACTTAGCAGGCACACGCCTTAACCACTCGGCCAAAGCGACTTTTGTTGGTAAAGAAACCTTTATTTTATTATTTATCGTATATATCTAATTATTGGCTCCATTTGTAATATTACACTTGGTTTATCCTGCAGCATGCAAATCGAAATAAAGGAGTGCAATCTGGAGTTGCCACCATGAATTCATCCTCAAATTAACAATTCAATGAATCAGGATTTACTCATTAAGCACTTCTCTCAGTACATCGTAATGTATATTAGGAGCATTTCTTCATGAATAATAACACACAAGTACCAGAAATGTTCTCAATGTATAGCTGAAACATGTTGTGAGGTTGGTGTCAAGAGTGGTATATCCCATCATATTATTGAAAACATTTCCCCATGAATAACACATAAGTACAGGAGATGTTCCCGAAATGTTGTGTCACTAGGACATGCTGTGATGTTAGTGTGAAGAGTGGCACATCCCGCTGTATATTGGGAACATCTATTCATAAATAATAACACATAAGTACGGGAAATGTTCCCGATATATGGCTGGTGATATGTTGCAATGTTCCCAGTGCCAATCTTTGGATTGATTTAATAGATTATGTGGATGAGATAGATTAAACATTTTCATTGATAAATGGTCAAATGATTGTATTAAGCATAAAGGAAGGTGAGAAGCTCTCAAAAAGAGGTGCGCCTGTGGTCATTAAAATGATTAACTGCAATTCCAAAAAAAAATCCTTGAGTAGCCAGCTCTTCTCCCCAAATTCCATTCCACCTTACAAATGGTCATCCATACCTTTAGCTGAAAAGAGACCCAGCCTCCAAGAAGATAACCGATCGGCCTTTATTTGAGAAGCATTTCATTGAAACCTGATACATGAGTGGGCGATTGGGGGTGTAATTTGGGTTGGCCCGAATTAACAATTTATACTATTTGTTGGGCCGGGTCCATCCAAATTTTGACAACATCCCAACTGGAGCCCGCCTAAGTTGCACCCTTATGGTTTATGGTTATGGGTAATGGATTGATAAATGGTGAATGGACTTAGATGCCAGCCACACAAGCAGCACGTGACATCAAAGACCATACCATGTCTTAAAGCATCCACAGTCTGAATCCTTTCTCTTCCACCATTTATATTATAATTTTATTTCTAGAGAATAAGAAACCAAGAAAGGTGATGGTTAGGATCACCCAAGCCATGGTCTTTTGGGTTATGGTCCACCCGAGAGAGAGAACTGCCTATAGAGTCCGGATCTACTACGCACACCCTACCCACAAGACATTACAACCACACGTCGGGAACATCTTCCGATGAATGACAACGTATGAGAAATGTTCACAATGTGCATAATTGTGGGTAGCAGATCTGATCTCCTGGAGGTATCTCAGGGGGTTGGATACGAAGGAATTGAAGAATTCGGATTAGCTGTTCAGCGGGCTGTGGAACCAATGATGAGGTTCCATGCCAGTAATAAATTCATGGGCCTCACTGTAAAAGATGCACGCCCCATGTATTTAATACTTGGGGCCCATGAATTTATTACTGGCTGGAACCTCATCATTGGTTCCTCAGCCCGCTGAGCAGCTAAAGCATTCGGCTAAACCTTTCTCGTAATGGAAATTGATTAATTTTTGAGAAAACTGAAATGATCCCTTCAATATTTGTCAACAGTCAGAACTAGAAGGGCTCCGGTTTAGATCAACTTGTGCTCCATAATGCAAAGAACTACAGTTAAAAATCATTTCTATTAACATTGTCCGAGTAGGATGTAGATAAATTCTTCCGAACTACTACATGATATTCACCATTTGATTGATCTAATACACAGAATCCTTCTAGTCCTCTCTAACATCCAGTTCATGGAGTGTTGTTCCTGGATTATGAAAGATCAACAAACTGCTTTTATAAAAGGGAAAATTCTACTTTAGTACCCTGAACTTTGGGGGTAGTGTCAAGTTAGTACTCGGACTTTCAAATGTGTCACTGCAGTACCTAAACTTTAAAAAAGTGTCAAGTTGGTCCCTGCCGTTAACTGACCGATAGTTATCTATTGAAAATGTCAAAACTACCCTTCAAAAGAAGACATTGTCTTCTATCTTGAGACTGAACCGGTTATCTTCAAAGAGAAAAAGAGAAAAAAAGCATGAAATATGATAGAGGGAAGCAATGACTGAAAGCAAAGAAATAACTAAACAAGAATGTGTTTCAGATCTAAAGGTAGAAGACAATGATTTCATTAGTCTAGAATCTCAAACACCTCAACCGATTCAGTCTCAAGGTAGAAGACAATGAACAGTGTCTTCTTTTGAATGGTAGTTTTGACATTTTTAACAGATAACTGACGGCCGGTTAACGGTAGAGACCAACTTGACACTTTTTAAAAGTTTAGGTACTGCAGTGACACGTTTGAAAGTTCAGGAACTAACTTGACACTATTCCCAAAGTTCAGGGTACTAAAGTGGAATTTTCCCTTTTGATTGGGGGAGGACTGCGGACCCAGTAGAGCCACCCAACACCAACCCTATTTGTTCTTTGTGTAAAGAGGTGAGTTGATGGAACAACATGGAAATGCATCTGGATTTGCTATGCACGGATGTTCTTGGTTGTGTTGTGAAGTCATTCTCACTTTCCATTGTTGGATGATGGTCTCAGAGGGGTGACCTATGCCACAAACAAGGTAAAATGTGTGTAATGAGTTATTTTATTTCACATTCTACTCGGGGATGTCTTAATGGGATTGCTGGGGTTTATTGTTTGGTATGCCCAAAAGTGCATGGTGAAGGCAACACCTAGATTAATGGATGGTGAAAGAGAAGAGTTTATTAAACACCTTGCATGGAGGCAAGCACTTTCTTAACTGTTGAGGAAAGTCGGATAGTGACGTAGTGTGGCCTGTTGTGCAGAAACAAAGAAAAAAGAAGAATCATAAAGGAAGGAAGAAGAGCAACTGCAAGGCTTAAAGGGTGGTTCTGATGTTTTGAAAAATTCAAAGATCACTAATTCAGATAGCAAGTTTTCAACAAGAGAATGAATCATTTTATTTATTCTGTAAGAAGTGATCTGATACATGTTGAAGGGGCTAGAATGGCTAAGGGCAGACCAAAAAAGGACATGGGTTGAAGTAGGAAGAAATGATTTAACTGCTCATAACTTAACAATGAATATGGCACTGAACAGAACTGAATGGCGAAATAAGATTCATGTAGTTGGCCCCATATGGTTGGGACAAGGCTTGGATGATGATGATGACTGAATCATTTTATTTATCAAGAGCCATAGTACATAAATAACCAAGCATAATCATAAAGATCTAGGTGGTTTCTCCAATAATACAGAAAGATAAACCTCCTCCTTTGACTTGGGAGAAATAGCCCACTTGTGTTTTTTGTACCTGAACTGCAGAAACATGTACATGTAGTCATCCAGATCCTTTCTATTGCAAAAGAACCTATCTATCCACAGCAGTCCTCCAGGCCTCAACACCCGATCCCAATCAAACAACATGAAATCCATCAACTGCAGGTCAATCCATCCATCTAAAAACCCAGTTGTGTGGATTAAATCCATGGTATTATCGAAGAATGGGAGCCGCTGATTCAATGTCACATACAGAGGAATCAGACCTCTAAGTGCAATCATCTCACAGAAGGGAGCACCAAGGTTCAGTGCAGTTGAGATAACTGTTACATTTTGTTCTCGCATCCTTGCCGCAAATGTCCCTGTACCAATACCAAAGTCCAGTCCTATCCTAATCTCCCCAGGTTTAACTGCCAAAACATCATTTATTAGAAAATCAACTGGAAGTGAGCCATTTGTAGTAACCCATTTAACCTTCTCCTTCTCCATCTCGAAACATCCTGTGCACTTGGAATAACCGCGCTTAGGGTTCTTGCTTGATAAACAGTTGAAATTCCTGCACTGGTAATTGCTCCATCTAACATTCCTGCCATCTGGTAATCTCCAGAGGGACTCGTTGATTGGATAGGGCTTCTGATAGAGCTTGGAGGCCCTTGTCAAGCAACGTCTCCTGGGCAAAGGGTCACAACCATTAATCATGAGCTTCTGGGCTAGGTTCCAATCATCTTTACAGAATGATCCAATGTCATAGTTCATGTACTCTTCAAGTTCCTTCTTCATTGAGACACAGGCATGCCCTATTGTGTTGTAAACTCTCTCAGAGCCAAATATATTGATCTTCCCCCGTCTGTTCTCTTTTGGAGTTATATACTTTCGAATTTCCTCTACTATGAAAGAATTGATTAAGGGCTCTTCTCTCATGGTACTGTTTCTGATTCCTTCAACTTTAGGGAGTCGAATCTGTCTAAGAGATATATGAGCACTATAGAGGGGCTGGATTACTTCATCTTCTAAATACTTCTTATACTCCAATTTCGAAATGTGAGTTTTATCTAAGGTGTCTTTACTCTTCTCCATCTGTTGCACAGTGGACTCGAGCTTGTCCTGCAAACTAGCCATCTTTGAAAGAACTTCCTGAACCCTATCGGACAAAGCTTTTGCATCAAAACCCAGGTAAGCATTCTTGGAACTATAAAAGTGGCGGCAAAGGTCTTCATCATGCAGGAAAAACCCAGTAGAATAGAATCTAAAGAGATTGGCAAAGCTTACTATAATAACAAGTACCCCTAGTACAAGCTGAAGCCAACCCATTAATCTTGAAAGTTTGCATCTTGGAAAACAGACACTCCTCATCCTTATTTTCTTTTTTCACAAATTGGTAAGTGGTTCTCTCTTTGCTTGCTCGACAAAATGTTAAATGCTCTTGAAATGAACTCAATTATAGTAACTACAGCTTGAATTGCCGATCAATGATGCATAAAACAACAATAACAGCTTAATTTCTTGATTAATGCAGAAAAATAAGAGAAGATATAACTGCTTCCAACTAAAGCAAGCGATGTGAGGCATGTCTATATGAGAAGAGTGATGAAAATACCGAAACGATGAAGCCAAACCAGTTCCATCTCGACTTTGATATGGAGAACTGACAAATGAATGCAACTCCTCTTTTCAAAATCTAGCATCTGATCGAAGCCAATCAACAACTTTACCCAAGATCAAATAGATATGAAAAGCGTTTGAATAAACCCTAGGACCTTAAGTCGAGCTTGCTAGAGCTGTCCGTTATCTTACCTGTCCCGTAGATGGAAGAGTAAACAGTAGACCGCAAGCTTGCAAGATCGATTGGTTGTTAACCTTTGCTTTACGAAAAAGGAGATTAATTGAATCTCTCTCTCTCGTCTCGTAACCTACAAACTCTAGAAGTTATTTTAATATTGCATAGAATGCATAGAGATGGTAGCGTTGACTGGAAGTTATCCACAACGCAGATCAACACGAATTTCGCCTACTATTCTAATCCATTCTCGATTTTTAAAAGAGAAAGCAGTGCTTTCAGGACTACAAATCGATCGTCGATTTCTGATGTCCGGCTCATGAAAGCAGTTCTTCGCCATTGATGACAAGTTCATCTTCATTCTTGTGGCTTTGACAGGAAATACGAATAGATTCTTGTATAAGAAAAGGAATTGAAGAGTCATCGATGGTCGTGTCCTGTCTCCTGTGTCTTCTGCAGAAGCTCGTAGTGGAAGTGAGAATCAAACTAAAGAACTATACTCCTTCTGAATCGTAGAGCGAAATCTATGGCGGCACATGGAGAGTTGAGAAGTGCGCAAAGGACCCACCATCCAGAACCAGAGAACCATATTTCATATAATATTTAGGAAAAATTCCTTTAACACTACTTCAACTTTGGGGATTGTGTCAAGTAAGTATCCGAACTTCAAAACGTGTATATCCAAACTCTTGAACTTTAAATTTGTGTCTATGTTTTTATCGTTAATTGACCGGTGTGACACACAGTAACACCAAGACAATCACTGCGCTAAGCGGTGAATCAACTCCGGCACGTGCTCGTTGAACGGTATACGTGAAATCTTTGGCACCGTGTTATGAACGTTCACCCCAACCTCTCCCTCCGCATCTTGAAGCGCACAATCCCGATTCTCAATCCCGAGAACGAGAAAATTATCAGCAGAACCGCTTGGCCGTCCTCCATTACGTTTATGCCTGTCTTTTCTATGTCATAAGCACTTAGCATCGCTAGCGCGCTACCCAGGCTGTGGCCGGTCATGTTTATGCTCAGTTATTCATCTGGATATTGATGCATCAGCTGCTTGACTTCGCTTAGGATCTGCGAAAATGTTATTGTACGTTTGTACCATATACCGAGATACCGCTTGGTAGAATTGCTTGGACTGAAGAAGCCTAAGGCCAAGGCACCTCCTGCGGATGCTAAAATCTGATTCTCCCTTATCATTTCCCTTGATTTAATCCCATCGTTGCCCGGTGATTCAAGTTAGCAAAATCGATGAGGAAAATGAAACAATAATAGAACATAGCACCCCTGAACGATTCTTTTGATATTGAGATCTTATCTGTTTTTTAGTTTTCTTTATTTCGTTTTGCCATTTGGCTTGCCAAAACAGGGATAAACTACAGTTGTTATTGATTGAGGGAGCAAGGTCTAAGTCTGAGAACAGAGAAGAGAACGTGAGGGCTTTAGATTTTTTTGTCCTATATAGAAGAACATTTGCATGGAAGAAGAAGAAGACAACCTCGTGTCTTGGGTTTGTCTTGCAGGTCCAAAGTCACAACCGCAAGAACACTTTATCTTCCCATTAATGGTTGGAGTTTYTTGAACAAYGAAWACAGGTTAATTCAAACAACAAATGTAAAATAGCACAAAAAAACCAAAAAGAAATACTCAATAGATATAGAGGAAAAGAATTTGCAGACATTCATACAACATTACTATTTGCTGGAATTAAAAAGAAAATAAAAAAAAATAATTCTATCATCGGCATTCAAGAAGGAAAGATGAAAAACCCTAGACATAGATATCAACTTTCCTCTGAATATTCTTGATGTTTGAAACTTTTCGCTAACACCGTTGCTTCTACCGTTAAAATCCACAATCGCCGTGTTGCCCGTCGCTGTTCTGTTGTATGTTGAACACCGTTGACGAAGGCTTGTTGCTACAAATGGTGCGGTTGGGTGAAAATGGTTAGAGTTTGAGAACGTGAGGGCTTTGGAAATTTCTGTCGTATTAGTTTTAAAAAGTTATCAATTTTTATTTAAAATTATTTTTGTCACTCGTAAAATTTCAGCCGGTTGTAAGTAATGGTTAGTAGAGCACTGAATGATGTGCCAAAACTTTAATGGGCTCGAAGAGAAAATCCCTTTGAGTCAAAACGCACTGAATCTAGAGTGGTTGTGACATCAGATGTGCATTAAATAATTTTAAAATGATAAAATTATACTTTATGATATTTTTCGACCATTTTACTCATTTCGTTTGAATGTTAAAAGGAAGGAAAGGGGAAGAAGGGTTATGAAGTCGAACAAGCTTTGGTTGAAGGGGGCATCTTTACAGTCGTAAACTTCATGTAATGTGTCTAAGATCTCTAGGAGGACATGGCTTATCAGCCTACCACACTTGGAGGTGGTTTCACGCTCAGAGATAATTTCTCTGTAAAGCAATATAGCTTATTTGGTTACCTTCGAAGCAGGCAGTGCGAGAGCTAGTTCCATTGGTGAGGTGACGTGATCCTGAAGGGATCGGAGATGATAAGTCGCATGTAGCGGAGGTCGGTCGCTACGTCATGCAGGTCGCCAACTAGACCTCAGTTTGGTCGGTGGGACCTCGGCGGGAGGTTGCCCCTTGTGCCAAAGTCTTTGGCTTGGTCCTGAGATGGCTTGCCAGACCTTGCCGAGGTGCCTACAGGTTGGCCCTACCATGGTGGTGCCAAAACACTCAAGGCATGCAAGGTGTACCTGAGGTGGACTCCATCATTTTGGCAAAGGCAAATCATTGCCTATTTGGCACCGAGGTGTTATGCAACGGTTTGGAAGTGCCACATGGCATGGTGTCACTAGAGGGCCAAATTACCCCTCATCACCTATAATAGATATTATATGTGCTATTTTATATTAAAAATGTATAAAAGGGTTTTTATACACATATTAAATGACATATAATATATATATATATACAAAACATTCCTAGGCCCAAGAATTAGGCTCCAAACTTGGGCTAGGACGGGCCTAGGCTAGAACCGTTGCCCCTATCACAAGTGCTAAGCCTAGCCTGACCCATTATCACCACTACCATAGTATATACTGATACATTTGCTAAATGCTAACATTCCTCCGTGTATTTGTAAGTAGGGGTGGATTCGAGCCGAGCTAAGCCGAATACTTGGCTATTCAAGCTCGGCTCTCTGAAACTGTGTTAGGCCCGACCTCGAGCTCGGCTTGATTAGCAAACGAGCCTGTATATTAGGCTCGAACTCAGCTTGAAACTCAGTTTAAACCAAACTCTAATAGCTCGTGAGAAGCTCGGCTCATGATCACTCCTATTTGTAAGGTAGAACATGCATATATCCAAGGGCACCCAAGTGGGCTTGAGCTCACTAAGGCCTATTCTCAGGATTAGACTGGGCTTGTACTTTTAGGCCCAATGAATCCTTACACCAACGCAAGTCTAATAATAGTTCAGTCTCCGGTGGTCAGCCATATGAGAGTACGAGATCTCGGATCTCTGATTCATCGGAATAAAAACCCGAGATCAAATCCCATTGCCACCAGGGTTGGAGGGTTTAAGGGAGGGGATGGATTGCCATCCGTTGTATAGCCCCATGAAGGAAAACAAAAAAAACCATTTTCCTTCATTTGTCAAGAGGAAAATAGTTATATCGTGGTGAAGAGGGGGAAAATGTTTTCCTCTTCAAATCATAACCTGAGAAATTTGCAATAAAACCATTCCTCTGTCTCTAGGAGTTGTGAAGCATTGGACTGGAAGACAGTTTGGTGTTGTCAAAAGTTTGAAAATTTCAATTGTGTGGAAAGAAGCAAATGTTCAAGCCTAAGACAATGGCGGCAATTTGTACTTTCCTCATGAAGGAAACGATTATCCCCATATTTGTTTTACATCCTTTTGTACAAAATTGAATGGATCAACGAACAATGCTAATTCTACTCCTTGGGAGTTAAAGAGGCTTGAGAGTTGAGAGTAAGAACCGAGGTGGCTGAGGATGTTTTCGTAATTATGCAGCACTTGTATTGAGAAAAAAAAAATTACCATTTCCAACAATAACATTACCATTGCATACAACGAGCTTAGGTATGGGGAAGGTGAGTCAAAACAAGCACCTCCCTACTCCCTATTAACTAGGCCACGGTTAGGTTAACCGAACTGGTATCATCGGTCTTTTTTTTTTTTTAATTGAAACTGAATGGTATTACTGGTTAATCGGTCTGTCAGTTTCGGTTTTTGATCAATTTGGTTTTTTAGTTTTTTTTTTTTTTATATTTATAATATATATTATATAAATATATGTATAATATTATATTATAAATAATAAATGATATATAATATATGTATATATTTATATATAATGAATATATATTTATATATAATATATAGAAAATATGTGATATATATTAAAACTATATATAAAATATACATATAAATATATATACCGGTCGATTTGGTTAATTGCCAGTTTTTTGTAGGTTAATTGAAAACTGAATTGATCCTTTAGTTTTCAAAAGTACCAATCAAAACCGAACCGATCGATTCATTAACCATATTTTTTGGTTCGATTTTTTCAGTTCAATTCGGTTTTTCCGGTTTTTCATGAACACCCCTACTACTAAGGGTTTGGGCCCTTTTAGCAGTTTTATGAGCCAACCCATTTCTATCCCTTGTCATAAATTTAACAGTCGAGGGATGGACTACCAGAGAGAGAGATGAAAAATTCAAATTACCTTCTCTTAACTTTCAATCCATGCCCATCTTACTAGGGCTGTCAATGGCTGGGTCTACAATAGAATTGAACTGACCATGTTTGTTCTGATTCTGTGATTTTGTTTGGGCTGAAGTGGTTGTTGTTCTAAACTGATTCAAATTGATCATAAATTATAAGCCGATTATAGTTTATAATTGGTTTATATTCCGATAGTATAGTTTATATATATAATTTTATTTTTTATAAATTTTGTTATATTTTTTGTGTAAAAGAATAAATTTCATAAACAATATATAAGATAATTATATTTAAATTTAAAAACATATTTTATTAAAATATAAACAATTCAATATTTTAATTTTCACTTTATTAAATTTATATTATCAAAATAAAGTTCTAAGTTATTATTATCATTGCTAATTGTAGGTAGGG